AGTACGGGATGGGGTCCTTCAGGCACTCTCCATCCTCTCTGTCTCTCTCTCTCTCTGTCTCCCACTCTTTCTCTCTCATTCTCTCTTTCTCTCTCTCTCATTTTTGCTTTCTCTCTCTCTCCCTCTTTCTTTCTCTCCCACTCTTTCTCATTCTCTCTTTCTCTCTCCCCCTCTCTCATTCTCTTTCTCTCTCCCCCTCTCTTTCTCATTCTTTCTTTCCCCCACTCTTTCCCTTTCTCTCCCCTCTTTCTCATTCTTTCTCTCTCTCTCCCACTCTTTCTCTCTCATTCTCTTTCTCCCCCCTTTCTCTCTCTCTTTCTCCCACTCTCTTTCTCTCCCCCCCACTCTCTCTCATTCTCTCTTTCTCTCTGTCCCCCTTTCTCTCCCCCCCTTTCTCTTTCTCCCTCCTGCTCTTTCTCTTTCTCTCTCTCCCACTCTTTCTCTCTCATTCTGATTCTCTCACTCTGATTCTCTTTCATTTTCTCTCCCTCTCTCTCATTCTCTCTCTGATTCTTTGGTTCTCTTTGATTCTGTCTCTTTCTCTGTCTCTCATTCTCTCTCTCTCACTCTCTCTCTCTGATTCTCTCTGTCTCTCTCATTCTCTTTCATTCTGTCTTTCTCTCTCTTTCATTCTTTGTCTCTTTCTCTCTCTGTCTTATTCTGATTCTCTCTTTCTCTCTCATTCTCTCTCTCTCTCATCTCATGGGCCAGCCAGTGTCTTGGGGCTGAGAGGAAGTCAAGCATCTCCCTGAGAGACTGAGGGCCGGAAGAAGTGTGGGAGCGAAGCACTACTTGAACTTGTGCGGCATGAGCATTCGCCTTGGTATATTTGCGCCAGCCGATGGCCAAGGCAGCCCTCATCTGTCTGCTGAAAGTGCAGCATCAGGATTCTGCCTTGCTATATTTGTGGCGCAAGGCAGCCTTTGTTTCCTGCTGCTTGGGACTCAGAGCGGTAAATAGCGTCTGATCCGGAGAGCTGCTGGATTTTGCTCTCTAATCCGGATGCCAAATCGGCCCTCTGCAAACTCTCGTCTCTCGAGGAGCGCTCCCTGAAGCGGGGCTGGAAACTTTGGTTGGACTGCTTGAGAGGAGAGCTTGCAGGGGGGGCGATCTGGTGTCTGCAATGGAGAGCGGCATCCGGCTTTTTCTCTCCGCTGTAAGAGCGCTGTAAGAACGGCAGCCCTCATCTCCTAATGTTTGGGACTCGGAGCGGTAAATGGTGACTGGTCCAGGGAGCAGCTGGATTTTGCAGTCCCAAGCATTAGGAGATGAGGGCTGCCACTCTTACAGCGCTCTTACAGCGGAGAGAAAAAACCGGATGCCGCTCTCCATTGCAGACATCAGATCGCCCCCCTGCAAGCTCTCCTCTCTCAAGCAGTCCAACCAAAGTTTCCAGCCCCGCTTCAGGGAGCGCTCCTCGAGAGACGAGAGTTTGCAGGGGCCCGATTTGGCATCCGGATTAGAGAGCAAAATCCAGCAGCTCTCCGGATCAGACGCCATTTACCACTCTGAGTCCCAGGCAGCAGGAAACAAAGGCTGCCTTGCGCCACTCCTGACACAAATATACCAAGGCGGAATGCTGCTGCCGTACAAATGAAAGTTGTGCTTCACTCCCACAGCTTCCAGCCATCGCAAACGCCGCTTCTTCCCGCTTCTGCCGCCCCCTCCCCCACAACAGCACCATTCATTCCGGATGGCGAGGGCTGCGCTCGTTTTTCTGTATTGCACCACCATCAAAACCCCTGTGAAAGGGTTGTTTGACCCCCCAACCACTGAGCTAAGGTAAGCAAGCCAGGAAAATGCGCTGCGCACTCCCACCCTTTGCCTGCGAGCCCGGACGCTGATCCGGACGGCTGCAGAATGAACTGGGCACCGGCTGTCATGTCTTTTCTGCTGTGCGGGGTTTGGCACCTGGGCTCCCGGGGTTTAAGCCTCTGGGCCAGCCCGTGCTGCTCCAGGATGTTCACTTCGGGCTCCTTGGAATCGCTGCCAGGCGGTTCTTCCCGTTGGGGCGATGGTGGGTGGCAGCGATCGGCGTCGCTTGGACTGCGGGAGCCACGGCGGACTCCTTCCCCACGAGGTATTGCTCTGCATTTCACCACCTCTTCCAGGCTCGCAGCCACCCACCATCGCCCCAACGGGAAGAACCACCCGGCAGCGATTCCAAGGAGCCTGAAGCTAACATCCTGGAGCAGCACGGGCTGGCCCGGAGGCTTAAACCCCGGGAGCATAGGTGCCGAACCCCGCACAGCAGAAAAGACATGACAGCCGGTGCCCAGTTCGTTCTGCAGCCGTCCGGATCGGCGCCAAGCCAGGAAAATGCGCTGCGCACTCCCACCCTTTGCCTGCGAGCCCGGACGCTGATCCGGATGGCTGCAGAAGGAACTGGGCACCGGCTGTCATGTCTTTTCTGCTGTGCGGGATTCGGCACCTGGGCTCCCGGGGTTTAAGCCTCTGGGCCAGCCCGTGCTGCTCCAGGATGTTCGCTTCGGGCTCCTTGGAATCGCTGCCGGGCGGTTCTTCCCGTTGGGGCGATGGTGGGTGGCTGCGATCAGCGTCGATCGCTGCGCACTCCCACCCTTCGCCTGCGAGCCCAGGTGCCAATCTTCTTGGACTGCGGGAGCCACGGCGGTGCTGGCCGGGCTGGGTCTGGTGCGGTGGGCGGAGATGAAGGAGCAGCCTCGGCGGCAGCAGCAGCACCAATTACAACGGGAAAAGCCGTGGGGAAAGGAGGACGAGGAAGATCTGGCAAGGCGGTGCGAGCACTTCATGGCTCCTCCAGTGAGCGGATTGCGAGAGCTGCGCGACTGGGGCAGAGACATGCGAAGTCGCATGGAGCTTCTCATAATGGAGACTCAGAGCCAGGTGTGCAAGGCACTGGCCCAGGTCGACCGCGCCGCCGCTTTCACCGTGGACTGCTGGGAAAGGAAGGAAGGTGACCCGAATTCCGGGGTAGAGTGGGGACGCGTTCCTTTCTCGTGGGCCGCGCACTGCCTGGCACCTCTTGTAGGTTGGAACTAATTCAGAGTACAGCTTCCCCTCAATGTTGCCGGCGCTCCCAAAGTGTCATCGGTCAGCGCCAGCAACTCAGATTCGGGTACCCGGCGTATAAGACGACCCCCGACTTTTGAGATGATTTTCCTGGGTTAAAAAGTCGTCTTATACGCCGGAAAATACGGTAATTGAAAAACCTCTCTTTAAATGATGACAACAGGTGGTACCATTAATAAAAAGATGAATAAATTATATTAGATAGTGATGCAATGAACAGATCATCAAGAGTACTAGAGTGTTTTATAGCTCTGTCTAGATCTATAAAAACACATGGGTATAAATATTTAGTTTCTGCATGTAACAGATACACACATACCTATATATAAACTTTGCAATGTTTTTTCACTTGAATGTGTTCCTCTTAAGCTCAGAAAGCATTCTAGAAATTAGATGAATTATGTTAGCTAAACTGCAGGATTTGAACTCATTTGTACCCCAGCAACAAGTGACATGTATCTATTACTTATACTTCAGAAACATCTGCAAGATGATAAGTTATTCAGCCAAGTGTTAAGTATACGTGTCTACCATCATCCTTGGCATCTTATCTCTGACTGGAAGAGTGAAGAATATCTTTTGATTTAAAGAAAAAGTAACCAAAACAACAATTCTTTTAAATAATGGTATAAATACAGCAAAACGAAGAAACTGTACAAGTTGTAGATTTTTTTTAAACAGAACTTTTCACTTCCTAGAAGAAATAACAACATTCACTTTGAAAAGATAACTGCCTGAAAAAAAATATCACAAAGGAACAAAGAACTCTTGTATCTGACAGCCACTCTGCCCCACCTCCCAAAACTTATTTCTAAAGTTTACAAGAAGTCAATGCTATGGTAATGTTAATGGAGAAGATGATATCTTTATTTATATTTGGGGAGGGGATTATAAAATTAAGTGCAAGAGTTGCACAAACTCAACACAATTATTTTACCTACTCCCTGCAAAATGCAAATAACTGCACAAAGATTATCAATAAATCAGAAAATATGGTGATATAATGGAGAAGGAGAGCCTGCAAAGATTATTGAAATACGAAACTTAATATTGTTAAATTTTGACTGGATTGTTCCCATTCTATAATTTGATACCTATAGATCTAGTAAACTCTTACTTAGAAAATACAGTGAGCATAAATTATATCTAATTGATTTTATTAGCTTCTTTAGTTCCCAATCTAGAGATGTGGTAGTTCTTTGTCTTTTGTCTCTAGATAATGCTGGCTCTTTGGTTTAAGAAACAGAGATGAGAATCACCCCCTAAAGTTGGTCACGACTAATGAAATAAAACCACAGGAACACCTTTAACTTTTTAAGTTCCCACATGCCTTGTATTATTTTTAATTAGATTTATTTTACCTGCATTTACCTTCATTTTTTCTTGCTGATCTTTGACAATGTATGACATTCAATTTTGAAGAAACTAATTATTAAAATGAGATAAATGAACATATTTGTGCATGTAGTTAAGACGCCTTTTCAGTGCAGTACAGCATATAAGAGTTTAGGTAGGAAATTCTAACAATTCCCTTAATGGGAATTTTTTGGCTATTCCCTAGTGTATTTCTTCAAACATAACCATAGATAATGCATGTATAGTAAATAAATATGGTAATTTTCTATTATGATGACTGGCAAGAGGGAGAAATTGAAAACATTTTCTCTTTGTGGAGCCAGTTCTATCAAAATAATTATTGTGCCTTTATAAAGAGAAAAAGCAGATCTAGAAACAGCATCACCAATCTCTCTACAGTCTCCAACAGTGCAATTTCTCATTCATAATATATAGACAGCCCTGTTCCTTTCCTACTGAAACATCTTTAATTTGGGCATCATACAGTGAAAGATATATTCCAGAAATTCTGAGCTATCATTCCAAGTTAAGCATTTCTGTTCCTTGCTGTTGAAGTAATAAGCAATCTGTCAAGCAAAAGATAAAAGGCTCACCTTATAACAAACTCATGGCTGTCAATCTCTTTTCCACACCCACTATCCAGAAGGATGCCAGAATTTCCTACAACAGCACATGTCTTAAATCGACGATTCTTCATTGGAGAAACTTCAGGAAGGAGGCTATGCAAATCCCGAGAAATGTTTAGTGTACGACGTCTGTCTAGCACATAGTGGATTACATCTCCAGGCTTGAAACTGCTTTTGACGACTGAGATGTCTCTTTCGGCATCCAAGAATCGAAGAATATTCTTCCTGCATTATAAACAAGAAGGGAAATGTATTGTATCTCTTTAAGAACTTAACGAAACTGTTGTTGGATGATGCCCAGAACACAAGAAAACCCATTGCTCATGTATCACTTCTGAAAGATGTATTTCAGAAGACAATCTGTTTCTTTTGGAAAACTCACCTCCGAACTTGCATGGTCACTTCAAGATACTTCATACTTCAATTGCCTAATTCAAATGTCAGATAAAATAAAGTGTCTGCTGTACACCAGGGGAAAATAGGAAATCAACATTTAGGGCAGAGAAGGAAATAATTTAAAAAATCTAAGACACTGATTTTCACTGATGCTCTAGTTTGAATTTTATACGATCCCCCTCCCCCTTTTTGTACAAATCCTCCATTTTGATGATCAAACAGATTCTAGTATTCCGCAAGTTACTATTCAAAGCATGGAAACATTTGTCTTTTTTTCATATGACACCTCTTGAAACATAAGAATGAAAAATTGTTATCTGTGAACTTTTTAAAATTATAACAAAATTACATTTGGAAACCTAAGATTAAAAATCACAATGTAATTTTAAAATTTCGTGTCCAGTTCCCACAAGTCAATTTTAATGATTTTTTTAATCCACAAAAAATCAATACTTTTAGAAGAAAAACTAGTTTCAATCATATCTGTAACAAAGTAATTCTACATACAACAACATAATAAAGAACTTTCATTTAACGAATCAGTTTTAGATAACATACTAAATTATAGCTGTATATGCTTATCTTAATAAGAAGCTAGGCCAAGATGGTGAGTGAAGAACCTCTGTTTCCAATAGATGGTATTACTCATGTTTTCAGCCGCAACTCCACATCAGTGTACATTTTTAAAAGAAAAGTCATTTCAAAGTACTTTTTCCAGGACAATTGTGAAAGATCTATTTAAAGGTTAGTTGTAGAGTCAGACTTTATCCATGAGGAAATGACATCACTTTGATTCTAGAATCCCTACCTCATATCCTGCCCAAGTCTATATGCAAATAAATCCAAGCCGACTGTAAAAAGCAAATAATAGTCCCAAATACCTGTTCCTAACAAGAAAAAATTCTTTTCTCGTCTGCTTTGGGAATGGATTTACTGTGAGCTGCTCTTACTGCTTCGTTTGAAAAGAGAAAGAGTTGCTTGGGGCACTGTTGCTATTTCTTGGGGGCAAGATTTGAGATACAGCAATGAGATTAGTGAATAGAAAACACCAATAATCTCTTGGAGGAGCAAAGATGCTTCGGCCGAAGTTGAGAGTTTTCTACATTCTGTGAAATATACAGGTAGTTCTTGACTTAACAACAGTTCATTTAGTGACCGTTCAAAATTACAACAGCACTGAAAAAAGTGACTTATGACCATTTTTTGCACTTCTGACCATTTCAACATCCCCATGGTCACATTGTCAAAACTCAGATGCTTGGCAACTGACTCATATTAATGACGGTTGCAATGTCCCAGAGTCATATGATTACCTTTTGTGACCTTCTGACAAGCAAAGTCAGGGGGGAAGCCAGATTCACTTAACAACCGTGTTACTAATTTAACAACTGTATTGATTCACTTAACAACTGTGGCAAGAAAGGTCGTAAAATGGGGCAAAATTCACTTAAATGTTTCACTCAGCAACATAAATTTTGGGCTCAATTGTGTTCGTAAGTTGAGGACTGCTTGTACTGTACTGGATTTCAAGGATCATAAGGCTCTTTCTCTGCACATCTGCACACATGCACAACATCCTCTCCTTCATTTGTCCAATATAGTCTTAACTGAAGGAGTGAAAGAAACTTGCACATTACAAGTAGAAATCCTTGATGCTTCATAGTGTGGAAGAAGTTCTTCAAAAACACCACACACAGATAACACTGCAAGAATTCATTTATAAATGTGGCTGGTGAGATCAAACCAGGCATTCTAGACTGGGTATCGAGATGCATTTGGTTTGATTGGTAGATGAAATGCACGAGGGTGAGACAGAAAACGAGCTGTGTTTTCTTTCAAATTGAATATTGAAGTATTTATTATATATATATTTATTTTATTTATTTATTTTATTTGATTTGTATAGGTTTAAATAATCAACAATTGCATCACAATATGATTGTGCGATCTGTGTCGACTGGAGGGCTTGGGGATGGGAGGCACCGTGCTGCGGTGGTTCTCCTATCTCTCCGACCGGTCGCAGTCTGTGTTGGCAGGGGGGCAGAGGTAGACCTCGAGGTGCCTCGTTTGCGGGGTGCCGCAAGGGTCGGTCCTCTCACTGCTCCTGTTCAACATTTATGTGAAGCCGCTGGGTGAGATCATCCGTGGTTTTGGGGTGCGTTGCCAACTGTACACTGATGATACTCAGCTGTATATCTCCACCCCTGACCACCCCAATGATGCCCTCGAAGTGATGTCCCAGTGCCTTGAAGCTGTGCGGGTCTGGATGGGGAGGAACAGGCTTTGACTCAACCCTTCCAAGACCAAGTGGCTGTGGATGCCGGCGTCCCGGTATAGCCAGCTGGTGCCATCACTGGCTATTGGGGGTGAGTTACTGCCCCCCTTCGAGGGGGCTCGCAACTTAGGTGTCCTCCTGGATTCACGGCTGTCTTTGGAAGGGCATATGACGGCCATGGCCAGGGGGGGCCTTCTATCAGGTCCGCCCGATGCGCCAGTTGTCCCCCTTTCTGGATTGGAACTCCTTATGCACAGTCACCCATGCCCTCGTCATGTCTTGCCTGGACTACTGTAACACTCTCTACATGGGGCTCCCCTTGAGGTGCACCCGGAGGCTCCAACTGGTCTACAATGCAGCCGCACAGGTGATTATGGGAGCCACAGGGCGCTCCCAGGTAACACCTCTCCTGTGCGAGCTGCACTGGCTCCCAGTGGTCTTCCGGGTGCGCGTCAAGGTGTTGGTTCTCATCTTTAAAGCGCTCCATGGCATAGGGCCGGGATACCTGCGAGACCGCCTGCTGCTACCAATAACCTCCCACCGGCCAGTACGCTCGCACAGAGAGGGCCTCCTCAGGGTGCCGTCGGCCAAGCAATGTCGGCTGGCGGCCCCCAGGGGGAGAGCCTTCTCTGTGGGGGCACCCAATCTGTGGAATGAGCTACCTCCTGGAATACGACTGATCCCGGACCTCCGCGCTTTCCGAAAGGCCCTGAAGACTTATTTATTCCAACAAGCTGGCCTAGCTTAAATGGTTTTAATGGGGTTTTTAAATTTTCAATTTTATTGATTCTGGGTTTTAAATTGGGAACTTTTCGATTTTGCAGATCTGGTATTTTAAATTGGAAATGCCGATGATTTAATTTATTTTAGTTTTTTCTTAACTTTTGTACTATATGTGTTTTAAGTTTGGCTGTCCCCTGCCCTGAGTCCCCCTGGGGAGAAGGGCGGTGTATAAGTTAAATAAATAAATAAATAAATAAATAAATAAATAAATAAATAAATAAATATCCAGAAAAGTACCAAAATTGATAGCTAAGCATAGATTCGCACATTAATTCAAGAGGGGAAGATAGCAATTTTCTGTAAGACTGTTCCAAAAGTAATTGCAGAGCAATAGTAATTTCCGGCAGGCCTGGGGCCGTTGATCTCGCTTTGCGATCTGAAGAGATCCGGCCATGAATGATGTGAATGGGTTTTAATGTCTTTAATGTTTTTAATTTTTAAGTGTTTTTATAGTAATTTTTTGAGTGTATTGTGAGCTGCCCTGGGTCTTCGGAGAGGGGCGGCATATAAATTGAATGAATGAATGAATGAATGAATGAATGAATGAATGAATAAATAAATATTATTGTTTCACATAGATGCAGTTCCTTTCAAGTACCTTCAGCACAAGTGTGTCTCTAAAGGCAGCAGGAGATAAACTCAACTCAGAAACTTGACCTTTATGCATTTAAAATACTAAAGCCACAGGCAGTCCAACTCTTATTTCTTAAGAAAAAAACCCGCACCTCTGTATGAGAGCAATCTAAAACTATGGAAAGAGCTTTGGGTAGAAAGGATTCAAGAGATTATGACCACTGCAATATCCCCATGGTCACATTATCAAAATTCAGATGCTTGGCAATTAATTCATATTTATGATGGTCGCAGTCTCCTGGGGTCATGTGATCATCTTTTGCCACCTTCTGACAAGCAAAGTCAATGGGGAAGCCAGATTCACTTCACAATCATGTTAACAACTGCAGTGATTCACTTAACAATTGTGGCAAGAAAAGTCATAAAACAGGGCAAAATTCACCTAACAACTGTCTCACTTAGTAACAGAAATTTTGGGCGCAATTGTGGTGATAAATTGAAGACAATCTGCCAGTTTGAATCCTAGCTCTACTCATAACTGCCTACAGAAGGAACACTGGAAACTGCGTTATGTTGGTTCATTGGTTAAACTATCCCAGTTAGTACTCTGAAAGGCAGTATTCCTTCATGAATTCAGGCAAGTTGATGGTCCCCTTTCTACCATGTATCAAATATTTCTAGGCATCCCATTATAAAGCTTTTCTTTTTTAAAAAAAAATTGCTATAACTTAGCATTGAATACAAAATTGTGTTTTCCAATATGCTCCTCAGTATATTACTGATCCATATAAGTAAATTTCTGGCGCATGCTCAGCCCAAGATGATAGATAAATATGTGCAGGAACTAACCTCTTCCAAGGACCTCTGAAGGGTAAAACAACCTGAGGAACACTTCCTTGATTACTTTTAGGTACACACACACACACACACAAAAATGGCCTTAGATTTCCATGAGGGCAGGCCTTTCAGACAGTTATGTGCCCCAGGAGGCTGTTTAAGATGCATTATCTCTTTAAGCACTGCAAACAACCTGCCTACCTGATAAATGTGCCATCTTATGTGCCATCTTTTAGAAAGATCTGTCTAACTTGACAGTTATTCCTTTCCTACCTGTAGCCTTTTAGTAATTAACCTCATACTTGAGTTTCAAAGCTATCATCTCCAATGGCTTACTGTTTATCTTATGTAAGGAATGGGC